GGAAACCATGCTCGCTTCTTCAAGAACTATAAACACTTGTGCCGAACTAGATGGGCATCTGATAAGCCGTGCAGCACGGAGCAGACCCGCGGGTCTCCAGTTAACACTCAGATTCAGTGTTAACACTTAATAGAACAGTGTTGAGTCCTGTTGCCAAGGTCAACAGCACAGAATCACTAATTGTATTATGAGCTTGACATCTAGTGGCCACCCCTGGCAGGGCAAAGCAGGCAAAGGTTAAGTCAGCAAGGCTTGTCAACGCGCTCCTAACCACCCACCTTCAGAGACAGCGGTCAGAAGCTGCCAGCACTCTGCACCTCCTCACAGACCTCAGACAACAGAGCTCCACACTGTGCTGGCCAGAAGCTTCCTGGGGACCCGGGGGGTAGGGACCCTGGATGGTAAGCATAACTAATCTGGGGGTGACTGGAGAAGACAGGCCATGGAGGATACGGTTGAGACGCCATGCTGGCATCGTCAGGTCCCTGTGGTGGACAGCGGTGCGGCCTCGAGAGCTCTTCCCTTTAATTAACAAACAAATCAAACCTCATCTCTAACAGAAATAGAGCCCATTACACTATTTTATTATTTCAATTAATATTTTATTCTTTGTGTAACATGACTTGCCGTATTGGTTTGCTTGCAAATTGCACAGTTAACTGCATTTTAAACCATGAAGGTGTTTAAATTACAAGAGAAAAACCTAAGGATAGGTCATTTTTAAAATATAAAGGTTTATTTAAAGTAATATTAAAACATTCAATTTCTACATAGATTTTATTTATGTCTGACTTTATATGAAATGTGAAGCAACTTAACATACGCTGTAATTACAAACCCGTCCCCCAGTAGTGGAATTAGCTCTCATCTTCGGGGAACTAAGATATGTTGGTCTTACTCTGGCAACGAGTCAAGAAATCATGTGGGAAAATAAAAAGTTACGAAACAAAACAAACCTTCCTCTTCTAACTATTATTCAAAAATTATCCTTGAAACTATTTTGCAGCATCGACTGTAGTGCATAACCTCATTAGCAGTTAAGAAGATTTTTGTTTTACTTCAATAAGCCCATCCCAATACTTACATTAAAGAATGCTAAATTCCAACCGACGTCAGCACACAGAAAGGAAACTTGGGTTTCACCTTTGCTGAATTCCCCCCAGGAGAAAATGTTCTTAGAGCCACCTTGAGATGAATGGTAAAGCCTCTTAGAGATCGCAGCTGAAAATGAAATCTGACCCACTTTTGCCATCATCTTGTACACAAAAAATAATCAGCTTGCTAAGTAATTCCTGCTGTGGGTCCATACCTTCCTTCTTTTTCTGGCCTTGAACAGATCTAAAAATATCAGATTATGCATACGTTGCAGAAGTTTAAAACGTACATAAAAATGTTACATGATCAGCTCCTTCTCTGTGATGTGGGAATTAACTGGCATGCTTTTTGTTGACCACCGACTTAGGCATTTTTAAATAGGTTAAGTTCTTTAAATGTTATTTTTAAAATAACTGTTTGCAAGTTCTTTGCCTTTTTTCCCCTCACTCAGTTACTTACTTTTCACCTTTCACATTTCAGAGAAAACAGTCTGCCTCCGAATGTTAGAAAGTGGCTTCTGCATTGTTTCCTTTTGGAATGCTGAATTGTAAATGTGTGTAGTGTGTGCTGGGGGACCAACCAAGGCAAACCATGCATATACAGATAAAAGAAAAAAGATCTCCTCACCAAGGGCTGGTGGCCTTCTTTCCCTTAATTTAAACACAGTCTGTGAATACCACTGGTAAATTCTTAAATCAAAAGCTCACCACATTTAAAAGGATTTTTAAGATAGCCATATAACTGTAAGTTAGCAGAAAATAAAAACACACTTTGAAGCAATTAGTGCTAACAAACAAAATACAGGGTGGCAAATTTTTTTAAATTATAATATTCTTTTGTTCTTCCTTAAATACATATTTTCCTTCTAAGGACCATAAAATACATCTTTATTAAGCCGTATTTTATATGATAAAGGACAGCAATGTTACACCTTTTAAAGTTCTTAGTAGGAGTATAAGGGTTGTTCTGTCATTAGAAGTTTTAATTAATTTTTCTTAGAACAACAATATTCAGCTGGCTCAAAGGATTTCATTAATGGTGGCATACGTTTAATTGCCTCCTAAAGCTGCATCCCACTTATTTCTAAATTTTCAGAAGCAGGAATGAAATAATTTGCAATTTTAAAAGACAGTTCTAAATAGGAACTCTTAAGTCACCCTTACAGTCTTACGACAGGATAATTTTAGAACTTTACGTAAATCATTAATACTTTTTATCATTCTAAATATGTCATCATATTTCATTTCTGCCATAAGGTCTGGATAGCACTGAAGCTATTTTTGGATAGCTATCTTTTCATTGCTTGCCTAAAAACCAGAGCCAAAAAATAGTCATATTTCTTTTCTTTTTACTGTAAATTATTGTGACTGTGCATCTTTGCCCCCCCATGTTATACTAAAAATTTTGCATATAATTTGTTTTTCATGGCATTATCAATAGTCTTCAATTTTACTGCATGCATCTACTGCTTTAATTAATGTCACACTCAAAGTGATAAAGGAATTATTTACTGCATTTCTAAAACACTGTAAACTAACTTAGCTCACTTATAACTTCATGCATGGCCTGTTTATTTCCACTGCATTTAACAAAACTAAAATTTTGAGACTATCTGATTCATGTTGGAGTAATTTAGTTTTCATGACCATTTATCTTTAAAAAAATATTTTACTTAGTTATCTTACTAATGATGGTCAGTACGACAGAGTAATATATACATGAGCATTCCTTGAGTGCACAGAGAACAGAGTATCTTTTATGCTCCATGAACAGTCAGCTTCAGAATAATTAAATCAGAAAGAACCATTTTTTAAATAGTTTGCCTGAACTACCCTTAAAACAATCGAGGAAACACACTACTCCACCAAAGCTGAGCCCCAGACAGGCTATTTTTGGCCTGTTGCAAAACACGATCAGGAACTGTGGCAACATCTCGATTCCAACCCAGAATGATGGTGAAAAACAGGCTCGACAAAAACTTGAATCCTGCAGCGGGCAGAAAACCTGAATATGTTTCACCTCTAAATAAATTCAGTCACAACGAGGAGAATTCAAAGGACAACTTGTAAATAATTTACTCCATCTTGGGTTTTCAAATATAGGCTCTACATCCCTTAACATGTTAACACTCCTGGGTTCACCATGCTCACATTTCTGAATCGAAATTAAAAATGAATAGCAAGGCCTCAGCTTGTTAATTGTTAAATACAAGGGGTTTTACTCTATTAATTAAAATATGCTTTAATAAAAGGAGACATTGCACATTTTGATAACGACCCTACAAAGCTGAGAAGTATTTACATTGTTGCATTTTGGGGCGGCTGTGAAAGCCGATTTTAAGCTATTCAGGAGCCACAATAATAAAGCTTTAAAATTCCTCACTGGGATGCAATGTACTTCTTTTGAAGGAAAGACTGTCTTTCTCATTCGGCAGAAATAAATCCATTCATTTGATCATGTAGTCATTGAGGGCGATACAAAACAAACCAAGTGTGAGAAATTCTATGTGATGAAGTAAACAAAACAAAAAAAAAATCCATTTCCATGACAAAAAGATTCTTTGTCCTTAATCTACCCACCATATGCAAGCGTTTCTTTTTAGCATATCTCCTGTTCGAATCTCGGGTGACCAGCCTGCACAGATAAGGCTGCCTTACCTCCCCGGCGACAAAAAGACCCGGCCGAGTTTCCGAATTTTACTTAATTCATTAATTCCCAGCCGTGCTGCGAGCACTTTCCCCTCTCCGCCCCAGCGTGGACGCACATCTGCTTTGTCAAACTTTACACACCGAGCGATAAACGCTCACACGCCCTTCACTTCGTGCGGTCTACTTCCCGCAGCAAAAGTAGGCGCATCTGCCTCTAACAACTCCGAAAAGGTGAATCGAAGGGGGTGGCCGGCCTAGGTTTTCAGGAAACCGCCGCTCGGTGTCCGAGGAGCGCGGGGCCGCCCAGGGTCGCCCGCGCCCCGCCGTCGCGCCGCCCCCCCCGCACCCCGGGCGCCGCGCGGCCTCGGTCCCCACTTCCCGGGCCCGCAGCGCGGCGGCGGCCCGGCCGCCCTAACTTTCGCCGCTCCTACCTTCGCTCCGGACCGGGAGGAACTTCCTACGGCGCCCGCGGCGCGGCCAAGAACAGGAAAGGCCCCAGCGGACTTGCAGCCGCCAGAAACGTGCTGGGGTCCTACCGCGTGCAAGGACCACCCCCCAACGCGGCGGCCAGCTTACCCCAGGGTTAATTCCCAAGGCGGCCATTAGGAAGGCCAGGCGACAGTGACTTCCGACTCGCTTCGGCACGGGATCCCCGGTTTGTCAGCGCGCCCGGACTTCGCGGGCTTCGCGGCCCTCGGGGCACACGGGGCGGCGGCGGGCCCTCCGGGGTGGGGGGCAGGCCGGGGGCCCCGCTCGGAGCGCGAACCGCCCGGGGCGCCCGGCACCGAACAAAGCTGCCTGGGCGGCGACCTCCTCGGCCCGCGTCCAGCGGTAGGTGAGTCCTGGACGCGTCCCCGCCGCTGCGCCCGCCCGGGGGACGCTGCGGTCACCGAGACCGGCCCCAGCGTGCGGGAGCAAGGAGCTCGGGGGGCGGCGCGGACCCTCCCGCCCCCGCCCAGCCCCGCGCGCCGACCTCCGCTGGGCCGCGCCGGCTCCGAGCTGTCCCCGAGCCGCGGCGCCTCCGCGCGCAGGTCCAACTCCGAGCCGCCGAGCCAAGTTTACTTCGCCCGCAACTCTCCGCGCCGGGCGCCCCGGCGGAGGACGGGTCCCCGCAGCCGGCCTGCCTGGGGCCGGGCGCCGCGCAGCGGACACGGGCTCCGGGAACCAGAGAACTTTCCCCCGGTCCGCGGCGCGCGGCCGCCCCGCCGCCCGGCCTCCCCGAGACCCCTGGCCACCCCGAGGTCCGCGGGCCCTCACCGTGCTCGGGAGCCCCGTCCGGGGGCGGCAGCTCCTCGTCCGACTTGAGGTGCTGGGGCTTGGCCTGCTTGCGCCGAGACATGCTGCTAGCGGGGCAGCGGCATCAGCGGGGCGGCCGGCGGGGACGGCGCGGGGCGGCCGGGCGGGCGCGGGGCGCGGGGCGCGGGCGGCGGCGGCGGCGGCTGCGCGGGCCGCGCATGGGGCCGAGCAATTAGGCTGGTGAATAATGCATGGCCATTAGCAGAGGGCCGCGCCGATTGGCCGGCCTCCAGCGGACTCCGGCGGCCTATGCAAATGAGGCCGCGCTCGCAATTAGCGGCCGCGCGGGCGAGGAGGGGCCGGCGCCTGCGGGACCGGGGCGCGCGCGGCCCGGCGCCGCCTCACATCGCGGGCTCCGCGCTCCGGCGCCCAGGTGCGGCTCGCGGGCCCGGAGCGGCCGCCCTGCCCCGGGCGCAGGAGCAAACTTTGGCGGCGTCCGCGCGGCGCCGTCTCCGCCGGCGCGCCGAGCTCGCCGCTTTATAGAGAGTCTGCGCCGCCGCCCGCGCCCCGCGCCCGCCCCCCCGCCGCCGCCCGGCCGCCCCTCCCGGAGCGAGCGGCCGCGGGCAGGGCTCCGGCCCGCGCCTTTGTCTCGCCGGGCCGCTCGGGCGCCGCGCCTCCTGCGCTCCGGGCGCGGAGACTCGCCGGCCGCCTTCGCTCCTCGGCGGCGGGTCGCGGCGCCGCTCGGCGCGCCGGCCCCGCTCGGGCTCAGGTGCCCCCTCGCTCCGGACCTGCTCGCAGGCTCGTGTCCCCTCCGCGGCTCCCCCGGCGGCCGGCCCGGCTCGGAGGCTCGCGGCCGGAGCGGAGCGGAGTGCGCACGCCGGGGTGGCGGGACTTCGGCAAGACCAACTTTCCGGTTCGGAAGCGGCGCGGGCCGCGCGGCTCCTCCCCTCCTCTCCCCTCGCCTCCCCCTCCCCTCCCCCCCCCCGCCCCCCCCCGGGCCCCTCCGACTCCGGAGCGTCCGCCCCGCCCGCCGCCGCTGCCGCCACCGGGGCTGCCTCGGCCCCTCGCCCGCCCGCCGGGCCTCCCGCCGCCAGTGGCTCTTAAATCCGGGGGAAGGGAGGGGACGGCCAGGCCCCGGTGTCCCCCCAAGTTCCCTCTCCCGACGGGTGCAGTGTCGGGCGCCTGTGGACTGGGCAGGGGCGCGGGGTCCCCGAGGCCGCGCGACGGAAAGTTCCAAGTCCCCAAAAGTCCCGCGGGCGGCCCACCGCGTTCTAGGACTTTCGGGAGTGACGTGGGGGGCGGGGGAGAGGTCGCGCACGTCTCGACCGGCTCCGCACCCTCGGCGGGCGCGGCGCGTTCCCCGCACACGCACCCACCCCTCGCCGGCGGTCACGCGCCCGCGCGCACCCGCAGCCGCGCCCGCGCCCACCCCCGCGCACTCATTCCCGCGCGTGTCCTTCGTCCCTGAGCACCCGCCGTGACATGCCCCAGGCCGCGTCGCTGCCGCGCCCGCGCCCCTCGCCCCTCGCACCAGTGTGTCGTTTTTAATTTCCTAAATTTCTTATTTTTGTCCTCACAAGTGGCCCTGTCTGGTTTGAAGCTTTGGCACAGATGGCCTCCCGGCGCTTCCCCCAGCGTCGAGCCCCGGGGGGAAGCGGGCGGTGACCCGCCGGCCCTGGGCACCAGCAGGGCTGCGAGCTCCTCTCTTGGCTGGGGGTGGGGCTCTGGCCCGCTGGGTAGCCCCCCACCCTCGGGACGGACCCGGACCTTGCGTCGCTCGCCCGGCTCTCCGCTGGCTGCTTTTCCATTCTAGAATCTTCCCGCTTCCCAGCCCGGGTTCTCCCTCCCGCCGCTAATTGTGTAAGTTTAGCGAAGCAACAGCTTCGGGCTCCGGGAGAATCTCGCAGAGGAAGGAAGCGCACAGGTTCGCCTCGTCTCCGCTCAGCCCCCCGCCACTTTTGCCAAGAAAACAAAAATCCCTTAAGGTTGGTTTTTGTTTTGCTTTTTGGTGGTGGGCATATTCATTTACGCGATTTTGTTTTTGAAAAGAAAAATGACAAAGAGATTCGAAATCTAGAGTTGTCCTCCACGGTAGCGCTTTTATAGCTAAGCTATGCGGGGAAATACCTTCCTATCGCCATTATGCTGTGAACTTTTGCAAATGCTGCGAGCATCTTGGGGACGCTCTTGCATCCGGCGCAGAGGCGAAAAGTTGGCGGCCGGGGCTCTGGGGCGAGCGGGGCCAGGAACTTTCCTGGGAAAAGAGGGGCGACGAGAAGCGGGGCGGGGGAGGAAGGGAAGGGTGTGGGCGGGGGAGGCGGCTGTAGCGTGTGGAAGCTTCTTGCAGAATTTACAGGACCAACGAGATCAGTTTGTGGAAGTTGCGGAGCCCAGCGGAAAGGTGGTTGTCGGTGACTCTTTCTAGAAGAGAGAGACGCAGAAGGCTTGTCGGTGGGTCGGCCCCTGGCGGAAGGGGCCCTGCCTTTTGTGACCTGGTTAATTCTCTCTTTTTTCCTTCTTTTTTTATTAATCGACACTTCGGGGAGAAGCAGCAAGTGGCGGTCCCTGCGGCATCCGAAGCTTTTCAGAGGAAGCCCGAGCCCGGCTCCCCCGCAGCCCCTTGGTCCCCGTGGCGCCGACTCCTCCTCTTTGGGCCACTTTGCGCTCGACAACTGACCCCCACTGTTGTTGTTGCTAAGGCCATTGTCCGCCTCCCCCTGCTCCCCACCCACCCTCTGTTCAACTCACTGGCACGATTTCCCTAGGTCTTTCCGGGACTTCCAAATGCAACTGATTAATTTCGTCGACTTGCTTTGCATTTTCTCCGAGGTATGGTCGTGGGGAGGATATTTTAAGTCCCTCCAGTGAGGGCGAATCTGCACCCCCGGCCTTGTATCTCTAAGGAGCAAGCTTTCAGGCTGCAAAGGTGTCGCGCGAGTCGTGGTGCGCTTTGTAAGTGGGAAGATACGGCAGGCTGGGCTCGGCGCTGTGGTGGACACAGTGGTTCTCACAAAGTGAGCGGACACGAATGCAGGACTGGAGCTTGCCCGGGCCGACCTGCCCGGCGTGGGGCGCGGTCCCCGCCCGGGGCGCGCGGGGTGCAGCGGGCCTGGAGAAGGTGCAGGCTCCACATCGCCCTCCGTGCACGCTGTGGTGTGATTTCGTTGAGAAGATGGAGCAAAGACTTGGACGCAAGGGTCAGGGAGGCTGAGAAACGAGAACCTGCACAAATTCCCCGCCACTGGTAAAATGGTGTCGATCAGTAAATCTTGTGGCTCACCGTTTTTTTAATTGACTTGGGCAAACAAGATCAATAATAAAAAAAAAAGTGAAGGTCGAAAACAAAAGGCGAGTTACCTCCTGACTTACCTGTTGTCCCTTCCTTGCTTCCCTCCACTGAGATCTGAAACTTTTTAAAATCGTTTTTATTCAATGCAGCAAGTTTTAATGAAAGCATATGCGTCTTAAGCTTGAGTCCCAACAATAAATTTATTGTGAGGTGACAACGTGTCAACGGAGTATTTTCCAGATGAGGGACAGGCTGTATCCTCCAGTCGCACCCAGGTTAAAGGCACCCACGGAAATGTGCGTCAGAGATGCGGACACCGGCCCACGCACACGGCGCGCACATGCCTGCCGTCACATGACCGATGTCTATTAAAATATTGCAATACCTAAACACTATTACAAAAACAAAAGTTGTTTTCTTCGCTATAATTAAATCTAATTTGTTAATTGTCTTTCCTCCTGCAGTGTTGTTTTCATCTTGAGGTGACACGTTATTATTTTGTCTGCTTAATAATATTATTTGCAAATTAATACTGTATATTTTACATTAGCAGAACATATAATTAAGCTTTTGATTTAATTTGTATCATTTATTCAGATAAAACAGAAAGCCCATCCGCAGGATTGGTTTGACAAGCGGAGGTGGGAGAGTTGTTCCATTTTAACGTCCAACGTTACTGCAGCTACCTGGCTTTCTATCCACAAAAGACAGTTTCCCATAAGGTGCATTCTTACTTCATTGACAATGCACTTATTTCCCCAGCCACTTAATGCAAAAAGAGTATTCAAATTTAAAGCTTTGTTTTTTGTCTCCTTTCATTTCTTTTCCCCCAAATCAATGTTCCTTTCTTTTTCTCACTGGCCTTCTCTTCCCTCTCTCTGGTTCCTCCCCCACCCCCAACTTTTGTTTTGGGTCCTTATGGTTAAATCCAACATGATTTTGTGTCTTTAATGCTGTGACAAGTGACTACTAATTGGTTCTCACTTGAGTAAAGATATTACCATACTAATATTATTATTGGTAAGAAGAGGTAATTGATAACACCACCTGCCACTCTGGGGCAATCACGATGATAAATGTTTCCATCAACTGGAAATCTGTGCTTGGTGTACCACAGCCCAATGCAAACAGCATGTCAAGTGCCAATTATAAAGATGTTGCTTTTCTATTACATTGGGGGGGGGGGCACTAGGAAACATGCAGCCAAAAATTATGTTTACGGTTTTTTGAAAACACTTCTTCCAAGCTTCTTCTTCACCCACTTGAAGGTAACTTTCCCCATAAAATTAAAATGCTCTACTTAAATAAACCAGTACATAGCTAACTGCCCTGCCCACATTCCACACAACTCCTGCTGCTGTCACCCGGTTCACTTTCAAAGCTATTGAGATAAATATGTTGAAATATTTTTAATAGGAGCCAAGAGCACAGCATATAAACCCGCCTGGGTCTGTGTGTTCGGAAGCCTCCTTGCATGCTCATGACAGGACGGCTCGCAACTTTACCGCAGAGGCATCACAGGCAAACATTTCACGGCTCTTTATGTCCCACGCGGAGGAACATCGGCACATAGCCGTCCGTCTTCGCACTTGGGGGCGCAGATGATGTTAAGGTGCTTCTCTGTGACCATTGGGCTGCGCGTCTGGGCTGCGTGTACACCCAGGAGGGGCACCCCAGCACGTGTGATGACATAAATAATGCGGGCCAGCTAAAACTTTGACTCCCTGCCTGTAGGGAGGCTCAAACGATTATTATTAGCTTGCATTATTAGATGCAGGCCTCAAAAAGGCGAAATCGGCTATTGATAATTGCAAGAAGTATACAGCAGCTACTGTATCGATCGGCTTGTCCCTATTCCCCTGGTATGG